CCCCCCCCCCTCCCAGTCTGCCTCATATCTCTGACTCTCTCCTGAAGGACAGCGGGTCCAGTGGAATGGCGGCCTGCAGCCGGTCGAACTCCAGGCGGCTCTCCACGTCCAGGACTCTGAGGACATCGTCCGGGGCGCGGAAATCGCCCGCCCTGTCCCTCAGCTCCTCCATCTCCCTCCCCCGCTCCTCCTCTTCCTCCTCCTCCTCCCGGCAGTGCAGCGCCACCTCGTTCTCGTAGCAGAAGGCGCTGGTGGGCAGGGGCAGCATGGCGGGCGGGGGGCTGGGCGGGGGCAGCGACAGGGAGGGGCTGGTCATCTTGAAGGAGGCGTCGCTGAGCTCGCGGGCGCTGCACTGCGGGGTGGAGGGCACCTCGTACGTCTTGTGGAAGCGGGAGTAGTCCACCTGGTAGCGGTGCTTGTCTTCGAAGACCACCGGCTCGAACCGGTGGCCCCACAGGATCTCGCGGGCCAGGTAGGAGCTGCGGGCCTGCGTGGTCATCGCCGTGGCCTCCACCATGCCCTCCAGGATGACCACGATCTCGAAGTCCTCCGTCTCCAGGTCCTCCTTGCTCAGGCCGTACAGGGGGCTCTGCTCGTCGATCTCGTGGACGATCACCAGCGGGGAGACGAGGAACAGGCGGTCCAGCCCCGCGTCGTAGCCCACGTTCAGGTCCGTCTGCTCCAGGGGCAGGTACTCCCCCTCGGCGGTCATGTAGGGCTTGATCAGCTGGGCGCGCACGTGGGCCTCCACGATGTGGCTCTTGCGGAGGTTGCCCACCCGCCACATCAGGCACAGCTTCCCGTCGCGCAGGGCGACGACCGCGTGGTGGGAGAAGAGCAGCGTCTGCGCCCGCTTCTTGGGCCGGGCCATCTTGGCCATGATGGTGCCGATCATGAAGGAGTCGATGATGCAGCCCACGATGGACTGGACCACCACCGTGGCCACGGCGACCGGGCACTCCTCGGTCACGCAGCGGAAGCCGTAGCCGATGGTGGTCTGGGTCTCGATGGAGAAGAGGAAGGCCCCCACGAAGCTGTGCACGTGCAGGATGCAGGGCTTCCACTCCTCCTCCTCCTCCTTCCTGCCGCCTCCGGGCCCGCCCCCCAGGTGCGAGCCCAGCCCCCGGCCCAGGTCCAGGTCGCCGTGGGCCAGCGCCACGCCCCAGAACACGAGTCCGAACAGCAGCCAGGAGGCCAGGAAGGCAGCGGAGAAGATGGCCAGCATGTAGCGCCAGCGGATGTCCACGCAGGTGGTGAAGATGTCGGCGAGGTAGCGGCGGGGCTTGTCCTGCATGTTGGTGAAGACCACGTTGCACTGGCCGTTCTTCTTCACGAAGCGGCTGCGCAGGCGCCCCGGCCCCATCGTCGACACCTTACTTCCTCCCTGCCC